CCAAGGCCTCGGATCCCCGATGCCGCCTGCCCGCTCTAGGTGGGGGGGGGGGGGGGGGGGAGCGAGCCCGGAAGACGCAAGCAAGGCAAGGCGAGCTCTGAGATCTGTGCACTTCCTCTAGAGTTTGCCTCTGGCACCCTCAGCCAGTGGGTAGCTGGGCAGTCTTCCTCCTGCAGCACCCACCACTGGAGGCTTGGCTCTCGGGATTCTTCAGCCTGCTGAGGGGCGGGGTCGAGCCTGGAGAGAGGGACGCTCACTCTCCATCTGCCCCTCAGCCAGTGTTCATCGTTGGTGGCACGGCGACTTCGCATGAGTTTTTGGTGCCTCCACAGCCCCGTCAAAGCTGGTCAAAGCGGGCCAGACACCACTGCCTTGTGGCAGCCTCACGCGTGCAGGGTCTCCACGTGCGGGCCGTGCTTGTACCTCTGCGTGCACCCATGACATGCTCCCCGCGCCCCTCAGGAATCCTGGACACGGGCGAGCCTTGGGGACACAGCCACCCCGCTTCTCCGGGCCCCTTGCGGGCTGATGGACGGGCAGAGGGGCGGCAGGCACAAAGGGCATCAAGAATCCCTACTCAGCTGGGGACTTCCAGTGGCAGAGGCCTCCCAAAGCACACCCCTAAGGTCCTAATCATCATTACGAGTTCTTCCTTCCTCTGCCTCACAGTACAAACCAGGGCAGGAAAAATGAGAGACAGAGGCAGAGAGAGAGAGAGGGAGGGTGAGAGGCCTGGTTTATTGGACCAGACCTTTTCGGTGGTGCTCAGGGCCTGCCTTGGGAGCACTGGCTCCTCCAGAGCCTCGTTCTGACGCCGGAAGCCGGGTGGCGTCTACCTCCCAGGCTCTGGGACCAGCAATCTGCTTTGAGAGTAACCATAAGATGGCTGTGTGGGGCGTACAGCACTAGCGATGCTACAGGGCACACCCCACCCCACCCACGGCAGGCCACCCCCGAGGACGCGGCCTGACGCCGCTTCGTGGTCTCCGCTCCCCAGGCATTCCCACGGAGCTTGCTAACCAGGGAGCGCGTCCACGCACAGGGCCCCATCCACTAAGTGAGGAAATAGAAGGGCGAGGGAGGATGCATGTCACTGCCGGCCTCCAGGACAGTGATGTGCGTGGAAGACAATGCATCAGCCCACACAGGGCACGGGGCGGGCGCACCAATAACTGAGCTCACAAACAGGAAAGGGCTCTCCCTCCTCTGTGGGGGACCCTGGATGCAGACGGCCACCCTGGCGTTCCTGCCTTGTCTCCTGGACTTCACGCAGATGCAGGGTGCTGGCGGCATGCACGGGTGGCCACGTGGCTTCGCGTCCATGGCTGGATGTGGGGTCCACCCCCAGAAGCACCCCGGCTCATCACGGGCACGTGCTGGCACCCAGGGTCCTTCAAGCTTCTGATCGCTATCTGCTGTGGACTTGGACATCACCAAAAGTAAAAGGTTTTCCAGGAGAGCAGAGCATGCATTCCCCCCCCCCCGGCCCCGCCCTCTCTCGCTCTACGTTTAAGGACCCGTGCGTTTTTAATGTCCATCTGTACGTAAGGGAACAGAGGGAACAGGTGAACCTCATATTTTAATTCTGCTTCTGGGTTAGAGGCGGCGAGAGACAGGACGGGGGAGGGGGGGCAGTGTTGGGGGGGAGGGGAGTGTCTTTGAGAAAAGGGGTTGAAAGGACACATTGCCTGTGGAGAATGAGGATCCACGGGGCAGGGCCCAGACCCGTGGCCCGCAGGCCATGGTACAGGTGATGGCCACAGGAATGGCCACGATTTGGGCATCTTGCCACTGAGAGGGTTGAAGCTGTGAATGTCGGATTGTGCGTGCTCCTTCCCTCTGCTTACACCTTCTTAGCAAGCTCCCAGGACTTGAGGTGGGCCTGGCCAGTGCACTCCAGCCCCTGCCAGACCACTGATGCCAAGGCTTCTGTAATGTGCCACATGTCCTGGATCGCAATTGAGTTATTGAACACTTTGGTGAGCCGGTCGATTTGAGGAATGGGATTTCCCAACACGCAACAACTTAATTTCCTGGTCTAACTGAGACTTACTTCAAGGCGTTCGGTCCTTTAGTTCTTTCTGCATTGGAAATAATTACTAAATGTCGCAACAATTCCAGCTGGTCTGGTGGATGAGCCACCATGGTAAAAGATCTTGTGACACCACAGAGTGATTGTTCCAAACAGTAGATCTCATTAGAGATGAAGACGGGGGAGGGGACTGAATGAGGTCACCGGCTTTTAGAATGTTCTGGGAATCCACTTGAGGCTATGCATTTCTGGCAATTATTTTTCTGACATTTGTTTCTTCTGAAATGTAAACCATAACCCTGTGGTGGGCGGCTCCGTGTGACAGGGCCAATCAGCAGGAGCACCAGCCAGCACACCTTTTTGCAATTTTGGTTGGCTCCGAGTATAATGTTAAGGTTTGGGTGAACTTCTGGGAGTGATGCTTCAGATACCAAGCCAGGTGCACCGGAAGCCCGGACCTGCACTGCTTTTCCTAATCAGATGAAGTCCCTAATTTGACTTTAAAGAAGAGGGGAAGCACACAGCCTGTGCCTGCCCGACCTTGCTGTGGGTGAGGCTTTCTCCCCACTCCTGCCTTCAGCCCGCCTCCTCGCTGAGTGGGGGGTCCTGGAGTTACGTTGTGTGCTTTCCTTGGACTGTGGTATGGAATCGAAGTCAGGGAACATCATCAGCTGGGACATGCGACCTCCACACCCGGGGGCACCCCACACCCGGGAGCACCCCACACCCGGGAGCACCCCATACCCAGGGGCACCCCACACCTGGGAGCACCCCACACACACCCGGGAACACCCACACACACCCGGGGACACCCCACACCCAGGGGACACCCACACCCGGGAGCACCCCACACCCACCCGGGAGCACCCCACACCCGGGGGCACCCCACACCCAGGGGCACCCCACACCCACCCGGGAGCACCCCATACCCAGGGGCACCCCACACCCGGGAGCACCCCACACACACCCGGGAACACCCACACACACCCAGGAGCACCCCACACCCAGGGGTACCCCACACCCACCCGGGAGCACCCCACACCCGGGAGCACCCCACACCCAGGGGCACCCCACACACACCCGGGACACCCACACACACCCGGATACACCCACACACACCCGGGACACCCCACACACCTGGATACACCCACACACACCCGGGACACCTCACACACATCCGGGACACCTCACACACACCCGGGACACCCACACACACCCGGATACACCTCACACACACCCGGGACACCTCACACACACCCGGGACACCCACACACACCTGGATACACCTCACACACACCCGGATAGACCCCACACACACCCGGGACACCCACACACACCCGGGGACACCCACACACACCCGGATACACCTCACACACACCCGGGACACCTCACACACACCCGGGACACCCACACACACCCGGATACACCCCACACACACCCGGGACACCCCACACCCAGGGGACACCCCACACCCGGGGACACCCCACACCCGGGGGCACCCCACACCCGGGGGCACCCACACCTGGGAGCACCCCACACACCTGGGACACCCACACACACCCGGGGACACCCACACACACCCGGGACACCCACACACACCCGGATACACCACACACACACCCGGGACACCCACACACACCCGGGACACCCCACACACACCCGGGGCACCCACACACACCCGGGACACCCACACACACCCGGATACACCCACACACACCCGGATACACCTCACACACACCCGGATACACCCCACACACACCCGGATACACCCACACACACCCGGGACACCCACACACACCCGGATACACCCACACACACCCGGGACACCCCACACACACCCGGGACACCCACACACACCCGGGGACACCCACACACCCGGGGACACCCCACACACACCCGGGACACCTCACACACCCGGGACACCTCACACACCCGGATACACCCACACACACCCGGGACACCCACACACACCCGGGACACCCCACACACACCCGGATACACCCACACACACCCGGGGACACCCACACACACCCGGATACACCCCACACACACCCGGGACACCCACACACACCCGGATACACCTCACACACCCGGGACATCTCACACACCCGGATACACCTCACACACCCGGGACACCCACACACACCCGGATACACCTCACACACCCGGGACACCCACACACACCCGGATACACCTCACACACCCGGGACACCCACACACACCCAGATACACCCACACACACCCGGGACATCTCACACACCCAGATACACCTCACACACCCGGGACATCTCACACACCCGGATACACCTCACACACCTGGGACACCCACACACCCGGGACACCCCACACCCGGGGGCAGCCCACGTGGGCCCAGTGCTGCAGTGCGGCTGAATATCTGTGGCTCATGTGTAATGTTCCACTGGCCATGGTGCTGCCCATCTGCACACTGTGCGTGAGCCTAGGGAGCCTACTAGTGTCCCCACGGTCCATGCTGACCACGTGTCCCTACTGTCCATGCTGACCACCACTGGCCCTACCGTCCATGCTGACCACCACTGGCCCTGCATCTGGGTGCGGCGTCAGGGCTTGCAGGGTCCAGGCGTGCAGGGTCCAGGCACGTGGGGTCCAGGCACACGGGGTTGGGGCGCGTGGGGTCCGGGTGCGTGGGGTCCAGGCGCGCGGGGTTGGGGCATGTGGGGTCCAGGTGCGTGGGGTCCAGGCTCATGGGGTCCGGGCACGCGGGGTCAGGGCGCGCGGGGTCCGGGCACGCGGGGTCCGGGCACGCGGGGTCTGGGCACGCGGGGCCCGGGCACGCGGGGTCAGGGCACGTGGGGTCCGGGCACGCAGGGTCCGGGCACGCGGGGTCAGGGCACGCGGGGTCCGGGCACACGGGGTCCAGGCACGCGGCCTCCCGCCTCCGCTGCAGTGGGCTCCCATCCACGTGTCCGTGGCCGCCATGTGTTTGCAGGGAGTACTACATCACCATGGTGAAGTGGGCCACCAGCACCAAGGTTGCCGTGACCTGGCTGAACCGGGCGCAGAATGTGTCCATCCTGACCCTCTGCGACGCCACGACCGGGGTCTGCACAAAGGTACGGAGGGGGCGGGGCTGGGGGACTGGGCAGGGGGACAGGGCGGGGGTGGGGACTGGGCAGGGGAACCAGGACTGAGCAGAGGGCTGTGTCAGGAAGCAGCCATGGCAGTGGAAGTTACTTCCATCCCTTCCTGCTGGGGAAATGTTAAAAGACTCTAGCTGCTGCGGCTGTTGCTGTCCAGGTCTCTGGATTCGGTGCCCCCTGGTGGACACATCCCGTACTGTACAAGTACCTGTGCTGCACTTGCAGCCCAGAGCGTGGGTAGAGCAGCTAGCTGATGCTCAGAGGGCCCCCGTGGGCTCTGGCACAGAAACCCGGCCTGACCCAGTTCTACTGCTCCTTCCTCCACCACCAGGGCCAGGCACCTCCCACCCAGGCCCCAGGAGGCCTGCAGTGAGTCAGGGAGGCTCAGCCACAGTGGGGAAAGGGAGTGAATGAAGGGAAGGGCAGGAGAGGTACAGAAAGCTAAAGACAGGCCTGGTAATCTGAGAAAGCAGCAGGTGTCACCCCGGCCTCCCCTCGAGGCCTGGGACTCACCCTCCAAGCCTCTCCATGGGGTAGAGACCTCGCCAGGCCACAGCCCTGAGTTAAAGCAAATCACTGCATTTAGAAGACAATCAGCACCCTCTGGAGGATCTTTCAGAAAGGCTCGTGGACCCTGAAGTTCCGTTCTAGACAGGCAGGGCTGGTACGGGCCAATCCTGTGGGACAGGTGGCCCTGCACGGCTGCTCTGGCCTGCTGCCCAGGGCCAGCTCCCAGACAACCACGGGGGTCCTCACCACCAGCCTACGGGCCTGTCATCTGGAGTGGATTCCAGATATTTGATGTACTTGTCTGAAAAGAAAGAAGATGGGTGGACGCAGAGTTGAGCAGCTATAGCTGCTTCCTGTCCCTATGCCCTCTGGGCACTGGCCTGTAGCCCATGGTTATGGAGCCCCTGCCTCTGGCCCATGGACAGAAGCTCCTCCTCCCTGTGGCTTGTGGTTGGAGGACCCCAGCCATGGTCAGCCCAGCACCAGCCCTGCTGTAGGACCCAATCGTCACTAGGCTGGGCGGCTGGATCCTCATGTTTGGGAACTTCTGTTCGTTCATTTTTGTTCCTGATGTGTCCTTTTGCATGGTTCTGTGAGATCCTCTTTCCTGCCTAGTTTAACCCTCTTAAAAGGCTTTGGTTACCAGGATTATTTCTAAGAGTTGGAACCTGGAATTTTGGCTCCATGACTCCAGGAATATTAGTGTAGTCTTTTGAGGCTTGTGCGCCAGCCGGGCGGACGACAAGGGGCGAATGGCCCCGCCTCCCACCGGGCCTGCCCCACAAGGCGTCTTCCTTGCTACTGGCGATGCTGGCTTTCTCCTGCCTGAAGGCAGGTGTGCTGGCCCGAGACACAGGGGCGGGGATCATCTCAGCCCCGAGCAAGCCACAGCGGCTGCTGGGAGAGCAGGCAGCTGCCCTGCGGGGAAGCCTAAGCGTTCTCTGCACGGCTGGTCAGACCCTGTGCGTGCACAGAACCCTGTCTAATGCTCTTCTTTCATTCCAGAAACACGAGGATGAAAGCGAAGCATGGCTCCACAGACAGGTAACCCCCTGCCTGACACCACACTGCGCCACACAGAGCGCCTGCCCATGGTCAGGGTGGGTGTCTGCCTGTCACACGTCCCCTGTGAGCCCACCTAAGGCTCGCCAGCTAGGTGCCTGTGTGTGTGCCTGGAGCAGGGACAGCAAGCTTCTCAGTTCTCCTCAGGAGCTGCCCCCCCCACCCCCAGCACTCCCAAGAGTAGCATAAACTAAAATAGCTATTCTTCTGGTTGTAAAATGCAAACTTGAAGGCATTTGCTAAGAAAAAAAGGTAACATTTTAAACAAAAAAAAAAAATCTACTTAAGTCGGGTGCCAGTGACTCACACTTGTAATCCTAGCTACTTAAGAGGCTAAGATCTGAGGATCACCATTCAAAGCTAGCCCAGGCAGGAAAGTCCATGACACTCTTATCTCCAATGACCCACCCAAAACTAGAGATGGATCTGTAGCTCAGTGGCAGAGCGCTAGCCTTGAGCAAAAGAGCTAAGGGACAGCATCCTGGCCCAGAGTTCAAGCCTACAACCACCACCACCACCAACAACAACAACAAATCTACCTAAAACATGTAAAGGTGTTGTTTTCTGTTATAGAAACATTTTCCTCTGAGATGCTGCATTGTTCAGTCAGGTCCGGCCAGCAGCCCACAGCCCCCTCCTGGGTCACAGCTTAGGTGTACGCACACACACACACACACACACACAAACACACACGCACATGCACATGCACATACACATGCGCGCACATGCACACAAGTGCATACACATCCACACACGCACTGCCATTCTGAGGAGCCACGATGCGTCTGCCCCCTGCAGAGCAGAACGTGGGACTGTATGGAGTTGGGCTGGGAATGTTGGACAGGATGAACAGGGATGGCCATAGACAGGACTGGCAGAAAAGCTTCCAACAGCACAAGAAGACACTCACCACAAAAACCACTCATCCTCCCACACCGCGAGTGAATGGATTGTAAAACTTCGCCCACCCCGGGGGACAGAAGCTCCCAGCGTCTGTACAGGCTGCACAGAAATCCACTTTGCACGGCTTCTCGCGGCGTTCCTTTCCTCCGGAGGGAGTCCGTGATATCTGCTCTTCGGTGCGCATCTGTCACATGTCTGCGGCCCCGCGTGTGAGGCTGGGCCAGCCCCCCCCCGCCCCCCCACCTCCACACGGCTGACCGTCCCCTGGACACGCAGGCCCTGTGTCAGCAGAGGCCCTCACGGTGCTGAGAGGCACGGCTGCGGCCAGGCTCGCTCCACACGCCCGTCTCCCAAGTGGGACAGAAGGACAAGCCCCGGAGCTCCCAGCCTGGACAGCTGCACCTCGGTCATTACTCATTCCAGCAGGACGGGGTGAGCAACCGCCCAACCGGAGCACTGCTCTTCTGAGTGACCCACACCTCCACCAATCCCAGCCTCATCCCATACTTCTCCTCCCTCCTCCTTCCCTGAGACTCAGTTCGGACCTTCATGGAAAGGAAACCACATGAACTAACGTCCACCAAGTTCAAGGAATATTCTAGAGAACTAGACAGACAGCCCTCTGCTGTCCTCATCCACACTGCCACTGCTGATGCCGAAATCATGGGAAGTTGGTTCTGGTGCTGAGCCCTGAGCCCCTCCCCCACGGTGCCAGCCCTCCCCCCCCCCCCCAGCAGGGGGAGGGGGGCCCCAAAGCCATCATTTTGCTTGAAGCTAGTCCTTGGGACTATTTTCCATCTGTGACCAGATTTTTGGCTTTTGAGTTTTCTGAACTGGGATTGGCAAACTGGACAAGAAGGATGGGATTCACCCTGGGTGACAGGAGCGCATGCAGGCGGAATTTTCATCCCTGTCATCCTCCTGGTGGGAGGATGTACAGCCCAGCATCCAGGCCTCAGACCTCCCAGAGTCCAGAAACGTCCCTAGCCTGGAGCCAGAGGTGGAGCCAGGCTTCAGGTCCAGGCCCCTGGTCAACAGGCCCACCCTGGACACTAAGTATAGAATTGCTAAGTGAGGAGCCAACCCCAATGGAGCCTCCAGGAGCTGCAGGATGCCATCAGAGGCCCGGCCTTCTCCCGTGAACAAGGCTCAGAATTAACGTTAATCCCGTCACATTCTGTCTAAAGGTTAAACGCTTCCTCAGAACAAAGTGGCATTGTGGCTGGTGCACTCTGCTGTGGACACACAGAAGTTCGTCAGCTGAGCAGCTGCTCCAGGGCAGCTGGCGTGACTGCCCCTCCCTTTAAATGCCCGGCCTCCCACTCCACGGAGGAAAGTCAATATCTGCAGAGTAAGGCCTCCTGGAGATTAAATGTCATTTAATCACGTGGCGGTTTATTCCTCCGGGCATATCTTATTTGCGCATGTTCGCTCACAGCTGGGGAGCTGAGGTTCCCGGGGTCCACTGGGTTCGTCCTGTCTTCTTCCCAGATGAGCAGGAGCTCCTTGAGTCAGGAAACAGACTTGGTAGCCAGCTCATTGGTGTTCACCGACGGAAACTTCTAAACCTGAGCCTCAGAAAGTCGATGCTTCGGGAAGGCTGGCGCTGGGCTGCTGCGCTGGGGACCAACCCGGATGACGGCCGCGCTGCACCCCTACGCCCCTAGCTCTGGCCCGGGGAACCCGAGAATGGTGGCTGTGTTTCCAGAGAAGAGTGACCTTTGCTTGGAGCCAGCCGTGTCCCCTCCTGTCTGCCGGACCACACTGCAAGACCAAGGCGCTGGGCCGCCTCTCCCCTCCCTTCCATGCTGTAGAGCCTGGGGACTTCACCCATGTGGCTTTTTTCTTTGCCTCTCATCTTCTTCATGGGCTATTCGGGGTGAGATAAATGCTATTAAAGAAAAGAATGAAGGATGGGACTGAAAGCAGACACAACTGGGTACAGCTGGGTTTGTGATTGTTAATATCTTAGTTGTTCTGGGGTGAAGGATACTGCAGGAGCGGCACAGTTCCTGGAGAACGCCGTGCACACGCACATGCACACACACGTACACGCTGTCTGCACCCTTGGCAAAGCACACGCCCCTGTCTTCCACTGATGTTTCAGGGACTGACAGAGGCTGGGGTCGGCTCTGAGTAGGTCTCGCTCGTCTCTCGATTCCCCACTCCTCCTTTTAGAAAACCAAAGGTGTGAGGGGCTGGGAAGGTGGCTCAGTGGTAGAGCGCTTGCCTTGCATGCTTGAGGCCCTGGGTTCAATTCCTCAGCACCACGTAAGCAGAAAAAAAAAGCCTGAAGAGGCGCTGTGGCTCAAGTAGTAGAGCACTAGCCTTGAGCTGAAGAGCTGAGGGACAGCGCCCAGGCCCAGAGTTCAAGCCCCACGACCGGACCAAAAAAAAAGAAAGAAAGAAAGAAAACCAAAGGTGTGAGCCGTGGCCCCCGGGGAAGCACCACGCGGCACTCCTCCTTAAAGGTGTGCGGATCCTCAGCACCAGGGAGCTACCTGTGCCCCCGGATGCTTTTTCCCGGTCACTCTCCACACTGAAGTGGAAAGGCTGAGCTGCAGCTCACCCACCTGGCATGCACAGGGTCCCCGGCTGAATTGCCACCACTGCGAAATTAGTTCATTAGTTAACCCTCCATTCATTCATTCCTTAGTCAACGAGGGAATTTCACAATGGCTTTGGTCTTGCCTCTGCAGAATGAAGAGCCCGTGTTCTCCAGGGACGGCCGGAAGTTCTTCTTCATCAGAGCCATCCCGCAGGGGGGCCGGGGGAAGTTCTACCACATCACTGTGTCTTCATCCCAGGTAAGGCCGCGGGTTTGGGGCTGGGCCGGGGCTGCTGGTGCTGGCCTCTCGGCCAAGCTTGGCCACTCTTCCAGCGGTCCCAGGAGCCCCTGACACACAGAGCAGGAGAGGGTGGGCAGGTGGCAGGGCGTCACAGAGGGGGCTGGGCTGCGGTTGGGACGCCCCAAAGGAGCAGGTGGAAGGAGAGGTGTGGCCCGAGGAGGCCCAGCACCTTTGGCTGACGCACCGTCGGTATTCCAGCCCAACAGCAGCAATGACAACATCCAGTCCATCACGTCTGGGGACTGGGACGTGACCAGGATCCTCTCCTACGATGAGAAGAGAAACAAGATGTGAGTGCGTCCTGGCCGGGCCCCACTGCCCCCAGGGCCGGTAGCCCCTCGCACCCCACCCCCCACCCCACGGCCTGTTTCTGTTAACGTTGGCTGCTAGGGGTCAAAAGTAGCACAGGCAGCCTCCCTTCCCACCCCAGCTTCACAGCGCACGCCCCGGCTGCTCAGGGCCCCGACAAAGCGAGGCCGGTGCCAGCCTGTGAGGGGACAGATCAGCCAGGTAGGTGCCTGTTTCGTGAGGCTCGGCCAGTCCACGCACTGAGCGGAAGGCTTCCCACACCTGCTCTTGCTTCGTTTGATGGCTGCACAAGGAAGGCTGTGCCACACAGACGTTCAGGAATCGGCTGCGTGTTGTAGAGTTGGCAGCAGGAGCCAGGACTCAGCTCCGTGAGGCCGCATCCAGGCCTCCCGTCCGTCACCCAGGGCGTCAGGCCCCGCATCCAGGCCCCCCCGTCCGTCACCCCGGGCGCCAGGCCCCGCATCCAGGCCCCGCCCCGCCATGTCCATCACCCCGGGCGCCAGGCCCCGCATCCAGGGACGCACTGTCTCCCTCGTCCCTCTTCCCACGGCGGGAGCATCAGCTGGACAATGTAAAGCGCGTCCGGACCCTGCGCTCCAGATGATTTCTAATCTGTACAGAAACTCCCCCTGGTGCTCACACTGGCTGTCCTCACCCTGGCCCCCAGGTCATGGCTCGTTGGCGTCCGGCGTGGCCTGCTGTGGCCGCAGGGAGAGCTGGGCCCGGTCAGCAGCGTGGCCTGCTAGGGGTGGGGGAGGGACCACGGGACGGGCAGGGGGCCCATGTGCCCCGGTGAGGGGGACTAACATCACCTTGTCCCCTTCACCGCCTTTGCAGCTACTTCCTGAGCACGGAGGACCTGCCCCGGAGACGGCAGCTGTACAGGTGAGCGCTCCTCCCCGTCCTCACAGAACTGCGGCTCTGCAGCGGTCAGGACGCAATGACAAGTAGCAGTAAGGCCTGGAGGGAAAAAATGCAGAGTGCCGACCTACAGCTTTGCTCCATCCTTGTGCGTTTGTTGGATGGGGATTCCCCCGTCACAGGCTCGCATAGTCCCCCCTCCTGAGGGCCACTGGGCTGCTTCCCACCTTGGACTTGGGGAGCAAGTCTCCCCTTCATTTCACGCTCGAGAAACCAGGGTCTGGAAGCAGCCACTGCTAGTCCTGCTGGTGTTACACTCCAGCGTTAGGCGCTCAGAGAACGGAGAGATGGTGAAATCCTTCCACCGCCCTCAGATTGCCAGACCGCTCAGAGAATGTCACTGGAATGAAAAGCGTTGAATGACTGTGGCCGTGGCCATGCCCTCTCCCTCCGGGGCCCGCATGGAGCCCCAGTGACACAGCCCACCCGTTAGATGCCATCCAGCAGCCAGAGCACCAAGCCATCTCAAAAGTGGGAGGGCCCTGCGTGCCAGAAGGTTCCCCGGGGCAGGCATGTCAGGGAGCATCGGCCAGCAGGGGTCCAGGCCTGGCTGTGGCTGCCCTGCCCCCCCCCCCCGCACCCTCGCTCATGCCACACCTCCGTCCCTCCAGTGCCGACACGGTGGGCAACTTCAACCGGCAGTGTCTGTCCTGCGACCTTGTGGAGAACTGCACCTACTTCAGCGCCAGCTTCAGCCACAGCATGGACTTCTTCCTGCTCAAGTGCGAAGGTGAGTGGCCGCCACCCTGGGCGTGTCTGCGGCGGGGGCTGGGGCTGAGAGCGGCCTGGCCACGCTTCTCGTAGCCCACAGCACCACAGGCCAGTGGCCTGCAGGGCGGGAGCCGAGCACCTCTTCGCAGGCTGTGCGGGCACACCGGCTGTGCGGGCTCGCGGGCTGTGTGGGCACATCAGCTGTGCGGGCTGTATGGGCACACCGGCTGTGCGGGCTCGCGGGCTGTGCGGGCTCATGGGCTGTGCGGGCTCGTGGGCTGTGCGGGCACACTGGCTGTGCTGGCTTGCGGGCTGTGCGGGCTCGCCGGCTGTGCAGGCTGTGCGGGCTCACCGGCTGTGCGGGCTCGCGGGCTGTGCGGGCTCACCGGCTGTGCGGGGTCGCGGGCTGTGCGGGCTCGTGGGCTGTGCAGGCACTCCAGCTGTGCGGGTTCACGGGCTGTGCGGGCTCGCCGGCTGTGCGGGCTCGCGGGCTGTGTGGGGTCACGGGCTGTGTGGGCACACCAGCTGGGCGGGCTCCCGGGTTGTGTGGGCACGCCGGCTGTGTGGGGTCACGGATTGTGTGGGCACTCCAGCTGTGCGGGCGCACGGGCTGTGCGGGCATTCCGGCTGTGCGGACCGTGCAGGCTGTGTGGGCACTCCGGCTGTGCGGGCTCTCCGGCTGTGCGGACACTCTGGCTGTGCGGACTGTGCGGCTGTGCGGGCTCGCAGGCTGTGCGGGCACGCCGGCTGTGCAGACTGTGCGGCTGTGCGGGCACTCCGGCTGTGCGGGCACTCCGGCTGTGCGGGCTCTCCGGCTGTGCGGGCTCTCCGGCTGTGCGGACCGTGCAGGCTGTGTGGGCACTCCGGCTGTGCGGGCTCTCCGGCTGTGCGGACACTCTGGCTGTGCGGACTGTGCAGCTGTGCGGGCTCGCAGGCTGTGCGGGCTCTCCGGCTGTGCGGACTGTGCGGCTGTGCGGGCTCGCAGGCTGTGTGGGCACGCCGGCTGTGCGGACTGTGCGGCTGTGCGGGCACTCCAGCTGTGCGGGCTCTCCGGCTGTGCGGACCGTGCAGCTGTGCGGGCACTCCGGCCGTGCGGGCACTCCGGCTGTGCGGGCACTCCGGCTGTGTGGGCTCTCCAGCTGTGCGGACCTTGCGGCTGTGCGGGCTCTCCGGCTGTGCGGGCACTCCGGCTGTGTGGGCTCTCCGGCTGTGCAGGCACTCCGGCTGTGCGGGCACTCCGGCTGTGCGGGCACTCCGGCTGTGCGGGCACGCCAGCTGTGCGGGCTCTCCGGCTGTGCGGGCTCTCCGGCTGTGCGGGCACTCCGGCTGTGTGGGCACTCCGGCCGTGCGGCTGTGTGGGCACGTCAGCCCTGGGCTGTCTTCTCAGCGCTCAGCCCGCTCCCTGCCACGTCACCAGCAAGAGTGTGACGATCACGTGAGCTCATGTGATGTCTGAAACACGCTATTCCTGGGCCACCTTTAAAAACTACCAAAACAGTTTTGAAGGTAACTTTTCAAGCAAATTAAAAATGGAAGTAACACAAAAAACAGGAAAGTATGTTCTTAGGACCCAAGTTCATTGATAATTCATCCCAAACATGCAATTGCTTTGTCACACCCAGCAGAATACACAAAGGCTATCCAAATGAACGCCAGGAAATCGAAACAAGTTTTTTTTAATGTGTCATTGTTTTGTTTTTTTTTCTTGATTGTTTGTTTATCTGTCTTTGGGAGGGTAAGAGAGGGCACAGAACTGGAGGGACAAAAGGTAAACGAATGCAGCGGTGGTACTCGCTAGACACTATGTTGAAACTGAACTCTACAACCTGTGGGTGGAGAGGGGAGGGGTGACATTGGCTAAGAAATGTACTCCTTACCTGATTGACGTAACCCCTCCACACGTCACCTTTATAATAACAAAAAAATTAAGAATACATAAAAGAGTGAGCCAGGTCCCGCAGTGGGTACAGAGATGGCCTTTGTAGCTTATTCTCATCTTGGAAGGATTAGATACGAATTCATGAAAGAGTAAGAAATGAAAGTTACGTTCCTAACAAAAGAGGTCTCAAAGAAGACGTTGATCTACCGAGGTAAGGATAAATGCGTGTGGAGGGCTCGGGGCCAAGGGCAGGTCCCTCCTGTGGCTACGGCTGGGACATCCATCCCACCAGCCACAGAGGACGGCGGCTGCTTTTGTTAGAACAGCGATCTGTTTGCACTGCATACTCCTCACACCATCTTGAATCCATGACCGCTGAAGTCCTGAAAAACTGAAGGACTGGAAAACTTCACTGCTCAGTGCCCTGTCCCTGGTGTTCATCCACAAGGAGAGGGGATGGCGGGGAGAAGAATTCCAGAAACCCCCAATGCCCCCAGCTCCCCTTTCATTCTTCCCTGTCCTGGGGGGGGTGGGCGGTCCCAGGAAGACAAGTTCGAATCAACCAAGTGCTCCCAGGAGCACGGTCTTGCAAGAGTCCTCCTCCACTGCTGATTCCATGCTCCCTGCCAGCATCTTGCACACGCAGAGACGACCTTGTAGAACCCGTCCCCTCCCTCTCCGCCCAGGGCCCCTGAGGCCTCCGGGGATGTTCTGCGCTGAGTCACATCCCCTGCCTCCCTTCTAGGCACAAAGGCCCAAAAGCCACCACAGGACCTCTTGTGCCTTATGAAATGGCTGTAACAGAGTAACAGACCCTGGCACGTTTCTAAAACGTAGAAATGAATTTCTCAGCGTTCTAGAGGCTGGGCTGTCCACCCCTCCCTGGTCCTTCGCTCAGGAGTCCCGTGGCATAGAAGAGGCACGGGACTGGAGGCACACCTGTGTCTGTTGTGAGATGCCTGACTTGGCGGAGGCCACTGGTTGCCACTTAGAAGTTGTTGGATTTCAGGGTCTCCCAGTAGTTCAAGAGAAGCGCAGAATCCATATTTTATATGAAAATCTGATTTCTAAATGTTGGTAGCCAATTAAAATACGAAGCTGGGCATGGAGGCTCATGCTCATAATCCTAGCTACTCTGGAAGTCAAAAGTAGGAGGATCATGTTCCAAAGTAGGCCCAGACAATAAGTTCAACAGCTCATCTGAAAGACAACCTCCAGAAAGAAGGCTGAAGCGGCAGCTCCCGTGTTTGTGTGTAGTGTTTTCTAGGAAGCAGAAGACCCTGAGTTCATACCATTCTGTTTAAGTAGTTGTCCCAAGGGGTTTCCACTCAACAAATCAGATTGTGAGTACAGTGCAGCTCAATTCAATGTTGCTTCTTCCGCCATGCTCCCCGGTCTCTCCCCTGTCCACCCAGAACCTCAGCTGTAGTGTTCCTTTTGAGGAAGTGGACACTTGCAGTCGGCTCTGCTCTCCACACAGCATCCACTCAAGGTGACACTCGAGTGTCCACGGCAGGTCAGCCTGCTCTCCTGGGGTATGACACTCCCATGGGGACAGAGGGGTCCGAGCTTCCGGGGAGGGGTACGGAGAGGAGCGGGCATGTGACGCCTCCTCAGAGATCGGGGACCCCTCGTTTCACACGGCTCTCAGTAAATATAGCTAATCAGCGGTGCAGAGTGTCAAAATAGCGCTCCTATTAATGGGTTTCTCCCGCATCGTTCCATAGCAATCATATCCAAAGACCGAAGGACATCTGTCAGTTACTCTACTCATTTTCCCTTTGTATGCCTGATTCTCTGGACCAGTGTCCTGGTGATTTTTCCCACTGGACTGGTATTGGCTGGTTGGTGTTTAATGGACTAGCAGAGCCTTTTAGTGTGTGTTTCTTTCCCCGCTCCACTGGCACTCAATAGCTTTCAGAGAACTTTCATAAGAATGATTGTGAAAGTTGTGCAAGGGAAGGGAGGTGAAAGTCACGAGCCCTGACTCCATGTCAGCCAGCAACAACTAAGCCAAAATGAGGTGGTGGTGGAGGGAGAACAAATCTGGGGAAATGAAGTATGACAAGGCCTAAATCTCTTTTTAGGCCCATGGGTGGCTTTTGTGTCTGGGTCCGTGTGTGTGTGTGTGCGCGTGTGTGTGTGTGTGTGTGTGTGTGTGTGTGTGTGTGTGTGTTTCCATGCATGTGTGTGCACGCACACACGCACGTCACTCAGCCTCACACTCATTTGGCTTTTGTACTCAAGGCTAGCACTCTACCATTTGAGTCACATCTCCACTTCTGGCTTTTTGCTGATTAATCTGAGGTGAGCGTCTCATGGACCTCTCTGCCTAGACCAGCTTCTAACGGAGATCATCAGATCTCAGCCTGCTGAGTAGTCAGTATTACAGGCTTGAGCTAGCACCGAGGGGGAACGGGGAGAGCAGTAATGCTTTCTCCCCTCCCCTCCCCTCATCTCTCCCTCCCTCTCCTCCCCTCCTTGAGCACACCTGGGACTTTCCCCAAACTGCACGTCAGTGACGCAGACCCCTTATCCCTCTGATCTGGCTGAGCTTACTTTCAGCACCATGGCCAGTGGGAGAGGTCCGGAGCTGAGCGCTGGGGTCCCTTCTGTAGAATTTAAGCGGCCTTAGCATTCCTCCAGTGTAAGCCAGTCGGGCAGCTGGGCCCGGGTCATTCTTGGCAACTTACTGCTGACCTTCCAAAGCAGCCTGGGAGCCGCCTCTGTGTTCTGGAAACTCATCTGCTTGACCAACAACACAGCAAGGCAGCATACATTTACCAGTGCTCCTCACGGTTCAGAGCAGCCTCTGTTTTCACTGTGTGCATGTAGTTCCTCAGACAGAGACAGAGACAGACAGAATAAGACAGGAAGGAGGGAAAGAAGGACAGAGGGGGAGGGAGGGAGGGAGGGAGGGAGGGAAGGAAGGAAGGAAGGTAGGAAGGGACGAAAAAGAAGAAAGAAAAGAAAAAAGGAAGGAGGGAAGGAGAGGAAAGGGGAGGGGGAAGGGAAAAGGAGAGAGGGTACACACTGCAGAGCCTGCTGGCTTGAGATACTGACTTTTCCTTGTAACAGTTCAAAAGTATTTACACCTCTCTGTTTTCACAAGATAAGCTCGCAGGACATGACTTATTATG